GTATTTTCCTGAGAATCTGAGTTTAGGAAATCCGTACCTTCACAGGGTTGATGAAGTGGGCGAGATGGCAAGAGAAATATACAACATGAATATATCACAAAATGATGCATAAATAACTAATGACATTAACTAAATTATAGTTTAAATAGTTAGTGAAATCAACTACATTAACTATAGTTTAAAAGCTAATAAATTAACTAAATCTCTATAATGCAAACAATTAATAAAATTAACTATTTTAACTGTAGTTTAAATAGTTAATAAGTTAACTAAATTAACTATAGTTTAAATAGTTAATAAAATTAACTAAATCTCTATAGTGCAAATAGTTAATAAAAATTAACTAACTTAACTGTAGTTTATATAGTTATAACTACAATGAAAAAGAGAGCATGGAATCTCACTGTATTTTATTTATATATTTTGACTCTTTTTTTTTTTTTAGAAACACATAGGCACATATACATGTTTGAACTTAAAAGCAATGAAAATACAAACGGCTCAAAATAATGACCGATCAATATGTGCAATAACTACAATCTTTATTGAGAATAACAGCTTTGTCCTATATGTTGAACGAAGCATCAAATATTGCTTCCATGAAAGGTGTGCCCGTCACTTTTCAGATGCAATCTTTAGTGAGGTGTAGGATAGACAATTTTTTGGAATCAGGCAATGAGTATTGCACTTTATTTAACCCAATATAAATATTGATGGTAGCATGCCATGCTCACATTGATACATGAGATAGAATAAGAAAAAAAAAAAAAAAAAAAAAAAAAAATTGGTAAAAGAATGGCGGAAAATATAAACAAAAAAAAAAAAAAAAAAAAAAAAAAAAACTAACACAAGTTGGTAACTGAATGCAGGAAAATGTAATAAAGATTTTAATATGAATACCATTTCACAACTAATTAACAGCAGACATGATAGCTAACGATAAATCTTGTAAATAGATCTTTTCTCTTAAGAAATAAAAAAATAATAATAATAAAAAATAAGCAGATTTTAATACTACAAAGATATTTTTTAAAACAAAAAGCTGATTTTAAAATTACTAACAAATCTTAAAAAAAAAATTATTTCTAACAGAACTAAAAAAATATATTTTTATTCATTTTTTTATTTTTATTTTTACAACTAATAACAGGTTCTATGTATTAGGTTCTATGCTCAATAACTGGCGATTTTTTTTTTAAACTCCAATGAAAGATAAAGAAATAACTAATATATAGTCTTCATTAATACTACTGACTAAAAAGAGAAGTTAATAACTAATAGCTTTAATTACTGCTACTAACTCAAAATAACGACTATAATAAAACTAAAAAAACAAAAACAAAAAAAGCAAAAGAAAGCTGTAGAAGTACGAATGATACACAACTCCTCTTGGCCTATTGGTTGAGAGCTTAGGCTTCCAACTAAGAGGTCCAAGGTTCGAGTCCATGTGTATGCGTTGTGTGTGTGAGTTTGCCTTAAATGGCCTAATTGTCCCCCCAAAAAAAAAGTACGAATGATTCCTTCAGCTTTAACTTGGGTGAGTAAAGCAAGCATTAAAAGCAGATGAAGTCACACAACTCTACTTGGCCTATTGGTTGAAAGCTTAGGCTTCCAACTAAGAGGTCCAAGGTTCGAGTCCATATGTATGCGTTGTGTGTGTGAGTTTGCCTTAAATGGCCTAAATGTCCAGATACAACGTGAGGAAAGGTGGAATGTCGTTTAGTGATCCACGAAGAAAGAAGAGGAAGAGTCTATTTAATAACATGTAAACGAAGCTCAGAAATCACACAGCAAACGACTACCAGTGCAAGGAGTTTTCACGTGATTGCGGGGAGATTTCGCCTATCACTGGCGTTCAACTTCAACAGGGAATCTCGTCCTTCAGCCAAGGTACAAGGCGTGAGCTTTGGGACTTTTGCGATTCAGCTTTGACAAAGGGAAGCTCGGCTTGCACTGGTCGTGCAGCCTCGACGTGGACGGAATCCTAGTGAGCCTTCACGGCAGCAAGCAAAACAACAGGATCTCAGGAAAATCGTTCAGTCGAGCGGGGGAGGGGGAGGTGGACAGTTAGAGTGGCTGAACTGTGAGAAGTAGGAAAACGGGAATGCGGGATTCAAAGAGCTGCTGTGGATTGTGAGGGTAACGAACCGCCAAGCAAGTTATCCAGCTTCTCATTTTAAAGTAAGCAGGGACGACGTCCGAGGTGCACCACGGGATATCGGGGAAGAGACACAAAAATCAGCAGAATTTAAGGGATTTACAGGGATTTAGCACATAAAATCCATTCAGAAGATACGAGGTAAATTAATGTGATTTGCTGTTTCATTTGACTTCTGATTTTATTCTTTAAAAAAAATTATTAAATTGAAAGTCAAATTAATGCCTTGCCATGTTTAATCCGTTAGCAACACCAAGCATAAGATGGCAATTACTAGTAATTTCTGCTTCTTAGTATCTGCCAAGAGAATCAGGTTGGGGTGATTATCATATAACTTTAGTGCTGCAAGTCTTGTTATTTCATCGTCTAGATTAAATGGCGAAATCTTTTAGTAGCCAAAGATCGTTACCGTCTCAAGGGGAAAAAAAATCTAAATTGTCCCTCGACTGTGAGCAACAAAATAACTCCAATTTAATTGAACAAGGGAACAAGCATCCATCTTTGGTAATTATTCATGCCTCAAACCAATCCTTTTATGCCTTCAATTGGAAAATATAATCCCTCTAGCAATGGAAAGACACGACATTCATCATTCCCATTGGATTTGCCTTCGAACTATTTCATTCTCGATTTAAAATGTATAAGATTTTTCATGCTCCAAGCCACTTGTCAATTTAATTTTCTCTAAATTAGGGCTCGGATTGGCATTGTTCATCTATATCATAGACCTTGTACCAATGTATTTCTTTTCACTTAAATTCCCTAGACATTTCGGTGGTTGAAGGTCGTCGAGCACGCTCTTGGCGAAATCAAATTTTAACTTCTCGAGTCATAATTTGGTACTGAACGCCTCCTCGGCATTCTTCACATTTTGAAGAAGTTTGATTCTTAACTGGCGAGGCTCACTCATATGCTTCAGCTCTGCAAATCTAAAGCCGTTCTCATATTTAACATAAAATCCATCGAGTTGTTGAAGATAATTTGGCTTTCCAATTCTATGTGTCCCATAGAAATCATCCGAGGATAATTGCATGTAACTCACATTTGTAGAGTTATTGATTTTTTGTTTTTTATAAGGAATTTGGATGAATAGACTGCCCATATTCATAGATTACGAGTTGCAAGTGATATAGATTGCTTAGAGAATTTGGCAGTAAAGTTTGAAGCATCTTCAAGTATCGAAGACATGATAAACATCCAATTGTCTAAGGTATCCTTTTTGGGCACAGAGCACAGATGTACAGCAAATAGATGATTTTCGATACTTTGAGAATTAGAGCAAGTATCCCATCAAAATTTGTATTTTCTCTTTAACACAAACAATGCGTACCAAATTTCTTTTAAACTTCCCAATCTTTTGAGCATTTTTAAATCGCAACTTCCTCCAATATTCTGCACAACCTCTCCTCGAAAATAAGATGGAAGAATGAAACCTGATGACATCTACATTCGTATTATATCAAATCTTTTGAACCAGTGATCTCATGAAAATTATACAACAAAATTCAATGTAATTGTGTAGATGTCTTGGGAGGAACATATAACTTAGGTTTCGTTTGGGACGGCTTTTTTATTGCTTTTTAAAGTAGCTTTCTAGTATAAATTTTTTTATTTTTGTACTAAGAAAGCTACTTTAAGAAGCAAGAAGAAAGCCGTCCCAAACAAAGCCTTAGGCTTCATTTGGGACTGTTTTTTTATTGCTTCTGAAAACGGAGTTTTAGTACAAAAATTAAAAAATTTGTACTACAACTCCGTTTTAAAAAGCAATAAAAAAGCCGTCCCAAACGAAGCCTTAATCTTAAGATGACATTGACAGGATTCTGACCCAATAAATTGCTTTCTAGAAATTCCCTCCAATGCCTTTTATCCAAGTCTTCTTTTTTTTTTTCGACACCAAAGATAACATTAGTTGCCAATGGAGATCTTAACAGATTTTAATTAAATATATATTCTTAATGCCAACGACGTTCCGGATGCAACGGCACCGTCCGTTTGTCGATCGGACTTTGTTTGGGCATCGTCGAGGCCTCATTTCCTTCGTAGCGCATGCCTTCTCAACATATCCAAATCGCCTTTGAAATTTACGACATCACCTCAAACCATTGAATTTGATCAAATAAAATATATATTCTGAGTGTCGGTGATGTTCCGGACGCAATGACATTATCCGTTTGTTGATCAGACGTCATTTGGGAGACGACGAGGCATCGTCTCCTTCATAGCGCATGCCTTCGCAATATACTTGAGTCGCCTTTGAAAAATTTTTAACACTTCAGACGATCCAAAATTTGTATATTCTGAATGTCGGGGATGTTCCGGACGCAATGGCGCTGTCCGTTCATCAATCGGACGTCATCTGAGCATTTTCGATGGCTCGTTTTCCATCGTAATGCAGGCCTTTATATCATATTTTGAATTGCCTAGGAATTCACGACACCATCGATGACCATTGCAACAAATGGAGATCCAAAAAGCGTTTCAACCATCTCTCTAGCATTGGATCTTTAATCTTTTATAATAATTAGGATTCTTCTTATCAACGATTGCATGAGGGTTGAGGAGCTGCAACACTGATCTTTTTTCACGCCCTCTAATCTAAATAATTTCGCCTTCTTTTTAATGACAAGCCAAATTAAGGGACGAGTACGTTCTCCCATTCACTTTTATCATGCTTCTTATCATCATCCCAATTGTCATCTAGCAAAAGTAAGAACTTTTTGGACATGATCTCAGTCCAAAGACTATCTTGAATATATATATACTTTTATGTTAGTTTCAATTTTACATGTTAATTTTCAATTTTATTGTTTTGTCCCTTTATAGGTTGTTTAGTATAAAAAGGGGTGCCTTGAATTTATTCAAGGGGTGAGAAGCAATAATATTTTTTAGTTCTATTTTTTCCTCCAAAATCTATGCTCGCTCTCTCTCTCTTCCTTGGTGCTGTTGTCCAAGAACAAAAAGAATTGGCGGTGCATTCAATTCCTTAAATAATATCTAGATTATTTGTCCTCCAAGATTTTAATTATTCTCAACAATTAGTATTAAAGCTTGTTGGAGGTGATCAAGCTCAAGTGCAAAAGGCGAAGCGAGGAAGCACAGGCTTGGAAGCGAAAGCTCGGGTAAGAAAGAAGCAATGCAGGCGCGGTCGTGTGGAAGCGCATGCGCAAAAATGAGATCAGAGCGTTAAGAGAGCCTTCCGCCTCGCAAGCTACTCGTAAGCGCATTTCCATCGTGACGAGTTGAGCTCAAGCATGCCATTTAAGCTTGAGCTCGAGTTCGAGCTCGTGATGGAAGTCAGAAAGGCCGTTGTCTGGCGATGGAAGTCAGAAGGACCATAGTTGGTGGCCTGAAGAAAGTCCGAAATCAGTTGGTGGCTGGGCAGAAGTCTAGCATCAGTTGTTGGCCGAGCAGAAATCTGGCGTTAGTTGGTTGCCGAGTAAATGTCCAGCGCTAGTTGGTGGACGAGCAGAAGTTCGACGTCAATTGGTTGTTGGGTGGAAGTCCAGTGTCAGCTGGTGGCGGAGCAGAAGTTCAACATCAGTAGGTTGCCAGGTAGAAGTCTAGTGTCAGTCAATACCTAGGAGGTGGTCGAGGATGAGCTTGATATTTCTCTTTCTCTCCTCTCTTCTTTCCCTCTTTGCTTGTCCCTCTTTCCATGAGGAATGGGGGGGTCTATTTATAATTTTCTGAGAGTGACATGACCAGTAAAAAAGAGGAAGATCAAGAGTAAGTTGAGAGTGGTTTGAATGGATAGCTGATTTTAATCCTCTTAATCGTGGACTATTTATTGAACATTTGAATGTATTTATGATATCAGAATTCAACGATCTTGAGATCGTTGGATTCATTTCGTCGAGTCACTCAATTCGACTATAAGCATGTCACATTTGGAAATCGTTTAATTATCCAATTTATGGTTTGAATGTTCCAAATGCGTTTCAGGTCTTTGATTTGGACTCATTTGGTATCGGATTGAGTTAAATCTGGTGTCATTAGGTTCGTCTTTTCAAGACATTCTGTTCAACTACAAGTTTGCTGAAATCAGAGATCATATGACCCTGAATTCAATTTTGGAAGTTTCCAACTCTATTGTGCCTTGAGATTCGTGCAGGATCAAGATAAATTTTTGATGATACATCAGGTATGATGTTATATTGTTTGAGTGATCGTTTGTGTGATAATTTTCTTAATTTGTGACTTATTATAAACAAGAATATATTAGCGATTTTAGTATAGATTCAATTTTAAAATATAGCATTATGTTCTTCCTTGTTCTGCTGGCTTGTTCTGTTCAGCTCCTCCGACGACTACCACGTCAACGTCTTTAAGAACAAAAAAAAAAAAAAACTTTATCCCCTTCTAGATTTACATTGACTAAAGTGTATCAGCCGACATACAAAAAATAATAATAACTTCTGCAACAATCCTAAGTCAACCTTTATGTTTTCTGTTTCAAACATGATTCATAGGCTATATGTTTCTTCATGTCAAGATGAATCTAACCAAGTTGACATTTGCAAATAAAAAAAAAATCAAGTCATTAGAAGTCGGCAACATATCCTATGAAATTATTCTCAACTACTCGAGTTTGTAAAAAATCTGATCCTTTGAATTATTTTCTTCTGGAAGATCGATTTGTCTTCTACTTCTAGATTTTCAAGCGCAGCATTACGAGTAATTAATGCTATTCTCAATGTAAAATGAAAACTGGTAGGTGGAATCTCAGTTGACCCAACAGCCGCTGCAGCAATTGTTGGTCGTCTATCAATCTGAACCCTTCTCCTCTTTCCAGTTCTATAAGATTTCTATCTGTTCAGGTCTTTCCATTCCTCTATCTCTCTCTAGCTCCCTCATTACCTCTTTCAATAGCTTCCTCTTGCCTCTTTTTCTCTCTCTTTCGACCCTAGCTGCTTTGGTAATTTGCTTCCTTATTTCCTTTTTTCTGAAGACCAGAAACCTATGGCTGAAGTTGCTACGGAAGTCATTGTAGCTCGTACTGGGCGCAACTTCCAGCGCTATGAAGAGAAATTTCGATTAGTGGCAGGGTATTCCTATTAGCTTTCTTCTTTCAGCACTGTTACTTATTGCTTTTTATCAATTTAGGCTTCCTTTGAGATGATTTTTTTGCTGCTTCTTAAAACAGTTTTTTAGTTCAATAATTAAAATTTTTTAATAAAAAACTGCTTTAAGAAACAACAAAAAATCGTCCCAAACGAAACCTACTTTCTCTTCCTCGCAAGCATGTCTAACTCTTGCTGTAACAGATGTATTCCCTACCGTTGGAAGGAAACTGTAGAGAATGGTGCTGATAATTTGCAAGATAGGTTGGAAGTACTCATGATTTCTTCACCTAATCGACAAGATCTCATCTTCCCAAAGGTGAGGACTGGTTTAAAGGTTTCGTTTGGACGCTTAATTTCTTACGGCTTCTTAAAGCAATATTTTAGTATAAAAAATTTATACTAAAAAGTTGTTTTAATAAATAAAAAAGCTGTCTTAAAGTCAAAGTTTTATGTTGTCTTTTGATTTGGTTAATTATAATTTCTTTTGACTGTGTCTGTAGAACTTTCTGATTCATATTTCAGGGTGGATGGGAAAATGATGAGACCATAGTTGAAGCGGCCAGCCGTGAAGCTTTGGAGGAAGCAGGCGTGAGAGGAATTATTAAAGTAAGTTCATCTGTTTTCTTCTTTGATTTTGTTGTTTATATTTAATTTGCTTATTTCTGCTACTGCTTAGTTTTTTCACTGTCCTTTGATGCTCGCTTTGGCCTGTTTGGGGAAGAAAAAGAGGAAATGATTATCAATCATTGGTGGAGCCAATTTTATATAAGAAAATTATGAAGGTTTATTGTTATCAACTGATGTTGATTGCAACAATGTTAGGAAGTAAAATTTCTTAGAAATTTCAGTGATAAGGGCTATTGTGGTCGTAAAGCTTTTTGACATTTTGCAAAAAATTATTTGGGTCCTTACTGAATTGTCCGATTATCTAAGAAGAAAAATATTTTGTTAGGAGTTCGGATGCGGGCATTTAATTCCAAAATAATACTGAATTTTATTTTATTTCATAAATATTTATGTATTTTAAACATTTATTTTATAATATAAATATAAAAAAATATATGTAGTTTTGGACATAATTTTCTTGTGCAATGTTTTTTAGATTTTGTTTGTGATAGTTTTCTTACTGCTGCCTAAAATAATTATTCAAGAAATTTTTGTATAAAAAATTTCTTTAGAAAGCATTAAGAAAGCTGTTCGAAACGAAACCTAAATTCACACAATGAAAATTAGATGATGGTGTCGGTTGTTAATGGTGATTGTCTGTGGCAAAAAAAATTATTTAAATCTCTCAATTTTGAAACCCCCTCCATGTAAAAAATGATGCTCTATTATAGCCTTATGGAAGAGAAATTTTAATAAATTTGACCAAAATTCAGTGAATGATCAATATTGTTCTCATTAATTGTAGATAATTTATTTAGTATTTGAGTTCTTTATGATCTAAAAAAATTGAGTGATATTGGATTCGATGGATATTCATCACGTCAAGCCGTTCAACTTGACTATAAGCATGCAAGATTTATAGACTGTTGCACTTTATAATTAAATCTTGAAGCTTTAAAACACACTTCAATTGATTGATTTGTGTTCATTTGGATTCACGGTCAATGGTGGTGTCGATAGATTTGTCTTGTTAAGATGTTCAATTTGAGTTTAGATGATTAAGACTTCCTTTGAGACAACTTTCTTACTGCTTATTAAAACGGTTTTTGAGTACAAAATTTATTATTATTATACTAAAAAGTTACTTTAAAAGGTAATAAGAAAGCTATCCAAAATGAAGTCTAAATTAGAGTTCAAATGATGGTGAGTTTGATTCTAAAAAAAAAATAAATATTAACTCAAGATTCATGCTGATCAGTGAAAACTTTTTTTTTTCGTGATATTTGAATGGTGATCGCCATGGGCGGATCCACCCATGGCTTAGGGTGGGCAAATGCCCACCCTCAAATTTTTTTTTTTAATATTGAGAGGGGAGATTTTGAAATATTTTGGGTATTTTGGGCATTTTGCCCCCCCTCAAAAAATTTTTTTGCCCTAATTTTATTAATCCTAAGCATTTTTGTCCATCTCTCACAAAAAAAATTTTTTTGCCCACCCTAAAAAAAGAAGCTGAATCCGCCCCTGGTGATCGCTTTGTTCCTTGTTAGCTCTCATCCAAACAAAAAACAAAAATGATAAATTAAAATTGTCTCTTGAAACCAGGAACCTATACTGGGAGAGTGGAAATTTAAAAGCAAGAGCAGACAGAACAGCTGCAGTTCAGAAGGAACATGTAAAGGCTACATGTTCGCAATGGAGGTCACTGAAGAGCTTCAGTGCTGGCCGGAGCAAGCCAGCCATGACAGGAGATGGGTCAGTACCACCAAGCCATATATCTTCACCTTATTTTTAATTACTATGATAGTAATCCTCTTACTTAGATTAATTAGTTTGTTTTACGTTAACAGTTATGCACAAGTGACGCATGGAAGATTTGCCGATATGATTGGATGCGTGAGGCTCTTTCTTCATGCATTACTTTTCTATCAGGACAGACTCTATTCTCCAGCGTTAAATTAGAAGAGCCGTCGAGCTACTTCTTTCCTCAGCAACTGAACCTGCTATCAACACATTCTGCTGATGATTTCTTCTCACCAGTTACATGCTATCAATATTGAATCCTTGGCCTTTACTAACAGCGAGATTAGTGTATTGACGTAAGAATATTTTCTGCTTGCTTTTTGTAATATAGATCTCGTGTGAAGGTACTGTACAGCACCAAAAAAATAGGTTTTCGCAGTACAAATTTTGACTTTTTCGGACGGTTTTACCCGCCACTAATATTTTTGCAGCGGTTTTATGACCGCCGGATATCCGCCGTGATTACAATGCGTTGCGAAGACATTCAGCGACGGTTTCAGAACCGGCGGGATAGAACTGACGAATGTTGAATATAGCAACGGTTTTAACTGCTATAATGTTATTGCAAACATAGCATCAGTTAAAACCATTGTCAATACTGATCTATAGCATCGGTTTGCAAACCGCTTCTATTAAAGACTACGAAAACTTCAGTGTTTTGGTGGTGATATATTGTTTGTTTCTGAATGTGATTGTTGCTTGTTGGAATTATAGTTGGATAATATTGAATTTACTAATTTAGGCTTGGATATATATGTTGACTGTTCTTGGTAGGGGTAGCTATTTGAAGCTTAGTCAAACCTGTTTGGTTGACATAGGTTTTGATTGGGACAGTTTTTTTGTTGTTTTTTAAAATAATTTCTAAAATTTTTGTACTAGAAAGCCATTTTGAAAAGTAGCAGAAAAAATTGTTCCAAACAGAGCCATAGTTAATCCACAAAATCTCCGATGGATTACTCTGGCTATCAATCCATTACACATTTAGAGCTGCTTTTTATTTTTCATTTTCCTTGTTACAATATTTGTCCCTAGGAGTTCAATTCTCTACATGATATGTCAAATTTTGTAAAGCTCAATATTCACAATAAGATGTAATCACAATGCAGCAAAATAATTCAAATAGTAAATAGAATATTGATTTAAATCTGATGTATCATCCAAAAATTATCTTGACCGGGCACGAATCTAGAAGCAAAACCAAGTTGGAAACTTCCGAAAATAAAATTGGGATCATCCGAATTCCGATTTCAACAAACTTACAGTTGAACTGAACGTTTTGAAAATAAGAAACCAATGACACCAAATTCGACTCAATCCGAGCCCAAATGGATCCAAATCAAGGACCCAGAGCGTAGTTGGAAGGTTCAAACCACAAATTGGATTACCATACGGTTTCCAAATGTGATATTCTTATAGTCGAATCTAGCGGCTCGATGAGACAAGTGCTATGAGTTCAAGATAACTGAATTCTGATATCACTAAGACATCCAAATGCCTAGCAAACGATATATGATTAAGGGATTCAACATCGGTCATCCTTACAAATCACTCCCAAAATATGCTCGATCTTCCTCCTATTTACAGGTCATGCCACTCTTAAAAATCTATAAGTAGACCCCTCACTTCTCATGAAAGGGGACCCCAAGCAAGAGGGAAAGAAAGAGATTGAAGATCGCTCTTGACTCCTCGCTCCCCCTCAACCATCGCCCGAACTTCCGCCGGACCACCACCTAACATCGGAGTTCTACCAGACCACCACCCGACATCGAACTTCCGCCTAACACAGGAGTTCTTCCAGACCACCACATGAAGGAGAAGTTCTGCCAGACCACCACCTGACGCCGAACTTTTGCTGGACCATCGCCTGTCGCTAGAGTTCTGTCAGACCATCACCTGACACCGGAGTTCTGTTGGACCACCACCCGACACCGGACTTGAGCCGGACCACCGTCGGACACCGGAGTTATGCTGGACCACCACGTGACCCCAGAGTTTCGTTGGGCCACCGCCTAATGCTGAAGTTCCATCAGACCACTACGTGATGCCGGAGTTTCGCTTGAAGCCGGATGACGCAGGAGCTAACGGCTACTTTAATTTTTAAATTTCCATTTCCTGTAGCTCTACTTAGGCAAAAGTGTATAGCCTACCGTCTCAATTGTATATAAATAGTTTCTCCCCTTGGAAATAAGACAGTCAGTCATTGTATTTCGTTAAAAACAGATTGTTCTGTTTCTTGCCTCTGTTTTCTTTCACGCCTGCAGGTCGTCCTTAGTTCCGTCAGGTTGCCCGGCGAAGGAAGTAGCAGGGACCCGTGAACATCAAGCTCTACGCTGCCAGCAGCCACCCTTCGAGGAGTCATAGACGGTGTCATCTGGTGTCAGAGCCGGCAAGATGCCGCCACGGAGGAACCGCCAACGTCCGGTGCGGGATATGGTGGTTGAAGATTTGCAAAGAGAAGTTCAGAGATTACAACAAGAACTTGCAAGGCGGGACCAGCAAGAGGCTGGAGTCCGACAGGAAGAGGAGGAGGTTAATCCTGTCCATCAGGAAACTTCAAGCCGCGTGACCCCAGAGTTTCGTTGGGCCACCGCCTAATGCTGAAGTTCCGTCGGACCACTACGTGATGCCGGAGTTTCGCTTGAAGCCGGATGACGCAGGAGCTAACGGCTACTTTAATTTTTAAATTTCCATTTCCTGTAGCTCTACTTAGGCGAAAATGTATAGCCTACAGTCTCAATTGTATATAAATAGTTTCTCCCCTTGTAAATAAGACAGTCAGTCATTGTATTTCGTTAAAAACAGATTGTTTTGTTTCTTGCCTCTGTTTTTTTTCACGCTTACAGGTCGTCCTGAGTCCCGTCAGGTTGCCCGGCGAAGGAAGTAGCAGGGACCGAGGAGTCGGAGACGGTGTCATCTGGTATCAGAGCCGGCAAGATGCCGCCACGGAGGAACCGCCAACGTCCGGTGCGGGATATGGTGGTTGAAGATTTGCAAAGAGAAGTTCAGAGATTACAACAAGAACTTGCAAGGCGGGACCAGCAAGAGGCCGTAGTCCAACAGGAAGAGGAGGAGGTTAATCCTTTCCATCAGGAAACTTCAAGTGATGACAAAGTTCGTCCAAGAAGGCCACGACCGGACCGTCCTCCTGATCGAGATGACAGTGGGATTAAAATTGATCTGCCAGAATTTGAGGGGCGAATGGACCCTGATGAATTCTTGGATTGGTTGCACACGGTCGAGTGAGTACTTGAGTTCAAAGAAATTTCCGCAGACAGGATTGTTAAGCTCGTAGCCATTAAACTGAAGAAAGGTGTGTCTCTTTGGTGGGAGAATCTAAAACGTAGCCGAGCAAGGGAGGGGCGAAGCAAGATCACCAGCTGGGAGAAAATGAAGAAAGAATTGCAACGTAAATATATTACCGACTATCATAGGCAGAATTTATTCTTGAGGCTCCACCGCCTCCAACAGCACCACCGGTCGGTCGAAGAATATGTAGCTGAATTTGAACAGCTTTCGCTGAAATGCGATCTCAATGAACTGGTGGAGAACACCATTGCCCGGTTCTTGGAAGGTCACCAACCCACAATCGCCCACGTAGTTCAACTACAGCCTCATTGGACACTTCAGGACGCTATTAATCTAGCTCTCCAAGTAGAACGACAACAGAGCTCATCAAAAGGAGCCTCAATCAGATTCAAAGAACTGGCGGGAGAAAAGGTTACTCAGACATCTAAAGGTGGAACATCCGCCACGCAAGAAAGACCGCAAGAAAAACCTCTGGGTAGGACCTGGACCCCTCCATCCACGGTCAGTAGCACCCCGGCGCGGAAATGCTTCAAGTGTCAGGGTTTTGGCCACATTGCCTCCAACTGCCCCACAAGTGGATCGTCACTATCCTAGAAGATGATACTGACCCCAGCGAGGAGCTCTCAACTGGGAATACCGTGGAACCCCCAACTGCGGGTAATCCCACAGTTATTGAGGCTGACGACGGGAATCTGCTAGTCCTTAGAAAACTGTTGATGAGCAATCAGAAAGAAGAGCAAGAGCAACGCCATAACTTGTTTTGAACTAGGTGTACCGTCCAGGAACGAGTCTGTCAAGTTATTATTGATAGCGGCAGCTGCGAAAATATAGCTTCGTGCACTATGGTAGAGAAATTGCAAATTCCAACCGAGAAGCATCCACAGCCTTACGCATTGTCCTAGATTCGGAAAGGCAACACGATTGAGGTAACTAATCGTTGTCTTGTTCAGTTCTCTATTGGCAGGTTCAAGGATCAAGTATGGTGTGATGTATTTCCCATGGATGCCTGTAATCTACTACTAGGACGGCCTTGGCAATTCGACCAAAAGACGGTACACGATGGGGAGGCCAACACCTATACTCTGATGCAAGGCAACGAAACCATTGTGCTCTTACCTTTTAAACGCCCACTCGAAGAACCTGTGTATGAACAGCTGATGGTAACCCAAACGGAATGCAATCAGGCCATCCAACAGGCTGAAGGGGGATACCTTGTATTGGTCAAAGAAGTCGAGAAGAGCATCAATTCTGTTCCACAGGAGCTCCAACCATTACTGGACAAATACAGGGAGGTCTGGGTGGAAGAACTACTGGCAGGACTACCTCCTCTGCGTGAAATTCATCACTCCATCGACCTCCAACCTGGAGTCACATTACCAAACCGCCCGCCTTACAGACTACGACCTGACGAGCATCAAGAATTAAAGAGGCAGGTGGAAGAATTGCTAGCCAAGGGGTATATTCGGCTCAGCGTAAGTCCTTGTGCAGTGCCATCTTTACTGGTGCCAAAGAAGGATGGTTCATTCCGAATGTGCGTTGACAGCCGTGCAATCAATAAAATCACGGTGCGTTACAGATTTCCAATTCCCCGCATCGACGATTTATTTGATCAACTGCAAGGAGCCACCATTTTTTCCAAACTAGATTGAAGGAGCGGGTATCATCAGATCCGCGTCCGGGAAGGCGATGAATGGAAAACTGCCTTCAAAGTGAGCGATGGGCTTTATGAATGGCTGGTCATGCCATTTGGATTATCAAACGCGACAAGCACATTTATGCGCCTCATGAACCAAATCTTCCAACCCCTGTTAAGCAAGTTTGTGATCGTCTATTTCGACGACATCTTAGTCTATAGTCCTGACTTGAATACGCACTTACAACATTTGGAGCAGGTGTTGCAAATTTTGGAAGAACAAAAGTTGTACTGCCACCCGAAGAAATGTCAGTTTCTGGATAGCCGGATTCGGTTCTTGGGGTTCATCCTCTCGGCCAATGGCATTGAAGTAGACCCAGAAAAGATTACCGCCATTCTCACCTGGCCTGTTCCCAGTTCATTCAGGGATGTGCGAAGCTTTCACGGGCTGACGTCGTTTTATCGGCGGTTTATTGCTAACTTTAGCTCCATTGCCGCTCCTCTCACAGAATTATTGAAGTCCACTATTTTCAACTGGACCACAGCGGCTCAGATCAGTTTCGACGAGCTAAAATAGAAAATGACTTCTACACCCGTCTTGCGCCTTCCTGATTTCAATAAACTGTTTCAAGTGGAGTGCGATGCTTCCAATCTGGGCATAGAAGCGGTCCTTAGTCAAGAAGGCCAGTCCATCGCATACTTCAGTGAGAAACTGAATGATGTCCGGCAAAGGTACTCAACGTACGATAAGGAGTTCTATGCAATTGTGAGAGCCTTGCACCACTGGAGCCACTACCTACTTTGTAAAGAGTTCGTGCTGTTCAC